CCATTGCTATTTACCAAAAGCCAGTACGAAAAATTATATTTCTTATTCATGTAGGTAACATTCCTGAAGAAAGGTTATTATATTATTACCTGCTCTGCTCTATATTCAAGGGTTCACCTACATTTTATCAAGGGTCGTGCGCGATAAAACAATACGTTATTATGAAAGTCCGCATCGTTCACGCGGTAACCCTAAGATACTCCATCGAGATGAGGTGGGGCACGTGAGAACGACCGCGGCGCCGTTAGCACGTAGACTGTTGACGTATGACCCCAAGAATTATACGGAATATGCCCCTAATCGGGTACTGTTTCGCGCGAGATTTATTATTCCAGAATATTCCCCACTTTTCCGTACTCACGAATCTTTCACGCCTAGATGGGTATAATCCAATGTGAATGCGTGACGCGCAATATTGAGAGACTTTATCGATATAACTGTCCCGAAAGGTTCGTCTGAACGTTTATCATGTACATTTTTGCTTGAGTTTGTTTTTGAAAATGTTTAGTCTTATACATTTTTCCGTAGTCACAAACCTTTCACGCCTTGATGGGTATAATTCAATGAGAGTGCGTGGAGCGCAATATTGAGAGATTATATCGATAAAGGACGGTCCTGAAAGAAACGTGTAGATACACTTTTCCTTATTACATGAGTAATTTGCTCTTGGAAACGTATAAACTGATACACTTTTCCGTACACACAAATTCTAGGCTAGAGAGGGGAATAATCCAACGCGAGTGCGTGAAGCGCAATATTGAGATATTATATCGATAAAGGCCTGTCCCGAAAGGGTTATCTGAATGCTTATACTCCTTTGCCTTCTAGACTTATACACTTTTCAGTGCACACAAATTTTAGCCTAGAGTATAATCCAATGTGAGTGTGAAATTATATCGATAAAAGACTGTCTCGAAAGGTACGTCTGAACATTTATCTAGAATTCTAGAGACACTTTCGCTTGACATGAGTAGTTGTAGTTGGAACGTCTAGACCGATACTATGTAAAGAGATAAATAATGTTAAAAAACAAAGGTCGGGTCATAGACCGAGTGATTGATATTGTCAGCCCTCAAGGTTGCTCGCGGTCGATTGGCTGGGTGTGGAGATATTCCACGTAAATGGTAAACCATTGTTATTATAAAGGCGTGTTTTTATCGATTCTATATGGCTTCGTTATATCACAGAGGTTTAAGGTTAAAAAGAGAGATCCTAGGTTATACTCCTAAATAGAGCTTACAAATTTTGAACTGTTTCCCAGTGGGTGTGGGTAGGTCTTGAACTTTTAATTGACCACGTATGAGTATCCCATATCTTACAACAATAAAAAAATACAACAGTGTCGTAACAATTGAAAGTAAAAAGATAAATTGATATAATTTGCAATGTAACTTTGCTAATGAAAATGCAAAAATAAAACTCATAAAAAAACTCATTTATTTATGCAAGTAGGCTTTTAAAAACACTTTTACACGTCCCAGTATTAACCCTACCACTGATCAGGACAAAGAAGCAGCGCAAGAATATCGAAAGGTAAGCCTCGATTTAAGCAAACGGACTCGCCCAACTTCGTCGATTCCGACTTCCATCGTCACACTCAAATTCTACAGCCATAATAAACCCTAAATTGAGAGACACGCTTTGCATCAGCCGGACCATTGTATTTTATAGTCGCCCGGAATGCTCGGCCCAGAGGAGATCGGACGAATGAGTTCCTAAATGTAATTAAGCCGTGAATTGTGGTCATCATTTCCCAAGTCGGTCAGTGAAAACACACTAGAAATTTACTGTATATTCTGGTGTTTTCGACGCAATTAATTATTACAAGCCCTTTGCCCGGCTCTGACCGCGTAGATTTTGGTTACTGTTAAGATCAACACCCGTTGGAAGTTGTATAATATTTTGACTATACCTAAAAAAGTTAAATTATGTACTTATTGCTAGTAAGCAAAGACACTTTTGAATCAATTTTGTTTTTAATTCAAGCCAGGTTTGTTGTGTAGAGATTGCGCAATAGGTTGGCAGTAAACACTAATAAAGTTTTTTAGTTTGCAGCGCTCAACAGGGTCCTTAATGATCTACAACTATCATGTAATACCTAAATGTACTATTAAAGAAGCAATAAACATATTGAGTATAAGGCCAACTGAATCTTTTACATCGAAGCAAAAAGTTTGTAACTTCTATTGTTTTCCTTTCCCTAAACCTTCAAACTTCTTTTGATACGTTAACGCCATCGTAATATTTAATAACTGTTCCGTAAGATTAGGGTGATTTCCCTAATACTCCCCATGTACAGCGATATACCAGCGATGATGGATGGGGCAACATGGCTGGGTTTGCAATACGTTCACAAATTGCTTTTGCCCTTTATGCATTATTTTTCTCTAAGTTGTTTATGAGGTCATGGGTCAGATGTTTGGGAATAAGTAGGGTAAATACATGCTGATGCGATGAATATGATTTAGATCAGAAGGTACATAACAAGGGCACAATTTAAGTAGTTTTAGCGCTAGGGAGCGACTTCATCCATACGAATCGAAGGGATGACAATTTAATTTGACTGGCCTCAGGTTTTTTCAGGACACAACGTTATCATTGACACACATACCTATTTACTTGAATTGTATTATGCACGTAACTAGGTAATATCTTTATTTAAAAAGATCACCAACAACTTTACACTAGATATGAACAACAACAACATTTAATTTTATCTAAACTAATATTATAAATAGGAAAACTTAGTTTGTTTGTTTGGTTGTAATGAATAGGCTCAAAAAATACTGGACCGTTTTTAAAAATTCTTTCACCATTCGAAAGCTACATTATTCACGAGTAACATAGGCTAAATTTTATTTTGAAAAAAAATAGGGTTCCGTAAAATATGTAGATAATGTAGTCCACGCGCGCGAAGCCGCGGGCGGAAAGCTAGTGCTAAATAAGGTTAACATTAAGTTACCTCGATATGATATTTTCGGAAAAACCAAATTCAGCTAATCCTTACAAAAGTTGTAACATATACAAAGATTAAAATATGGCAATAGTAACTTTTGGAGAAATTGATAGGTACTTATCCTAATAAAATTGTTTACCATTCCGTGCCTGGTATGTATTACAAGAAAAATAAACATTGCCTCCAGCTGTTTCAGATAGCTTATTGTTGTTTGCATGAAACGTGAAACGTGGCGTGGGATGTGCCCACATCCTCCTCCACTCCCAAATGTCAAAGCGACCTTTCTTTCGAGACCTCTTGGCATTAGCATTACCTCATCATAGTTCGAATAAGTAATGTCAACATTTTTCCCTAGGTTTAATTTAGGATGAGATAAGATTAATGTTACGGTAAATCTTATTTGTTTAGTCTACTTAAATAAGTTTTCGTTTACGTATTTTAGTTGTAGCTTTTGCCCGCGGCTTCACCCTCGTGGATATAAAATATCGTTATAAATTATAGCATATATAACTGTTATTCACAATACTGTTAAGTTTCATAAAATCAGTGCAATGGTTTTTGCATAAAAATAACAAACATTCGAGTAATTTCATTCACATTCACAAACTTTCACATTTATTATATTTAAAAAAAAGTCATTTATTTTTGAAAATAGGCTTTTAAAAAGCACTTTTACACGTGCCAATATTAACCCTTCCACTGCTTCGGGACAATATATGGGCCAGTGCTGAGAAGAAGCAGCGCAAGAAATTCAGTCACTATTTATTTACCTACCTATTAGCAGGATGGGCTCGAATCTTAAGAGTTCTCGGAATAAAATATATCAAGCATGTAGTTTTCTAAGTAAATACCAACCTACTGAATTTAAATATATTTGAGGACTTTGATTTCGTCGAACCGACATCGCCAGAGTAGGTCAACATGAATTCCACAAAATTTTCAATCATCAATAATAATCATTTATTTTTAGATGGATCTCTATTTCACGGGATTGGCAATATTGAATTTGGCTTATAATTTCCATATAACCCACATAAGCTTAGGAACACTTATCCTACTTTTAATCTCAAGCCTATCTTGACCGTACATAATAAGTAGATACTTAATACATAAGATGATACGTAAACATCAGCTAGTGGCAATCAAGCGTAACACCGAACGCGTTCCGTATCAGTTTCAATTTGGAGAACGATAACATTCATAACGGACAATAAGTATCCATTTTCCCAATTTCCAGAAGAATCGGTGGAGTTTTATTCCAATAATTTTCCAGAAGTACCTACATTAAGCAAACAAACCAAGATTGGTATCGAGGAAAATGAAGTTTTTTTCCGTTTTTTCTGAACCAAAAGAGGGTAAGGGGAAGTACAAAGTGATCTGTACCCGAGGACAATGAAAAAGTTCGTAATCATGCCGTGAACTTTCCCGTGGGCAAATGAGAACCCTTTATTGGCTGTCAATGTGATTCTTTGAAAAGTAATTTATCAAATAATGCTCGATAAGAAAGTTTCGAACTCAATGGAACTACGATCGATGGAATTTGGAATGGATTTCCCTTCTGAGGATTTTGGGTTCGAGGTATTTTACAATTGAAATATACCTACAATGAAAGGTACGCGAAATAAATTCGACTGTGTCAATAAACAAATACCTAAATAAGTAAGGGTAAACTGAGTTGTATACTTTTAAATAGGCTTGAAAGTCACCATATGCTATCAAATATTCAATTCCAAATGCCCAAACACTTGGAAATTGTATTTGTCAAGCCGTTGGTTGTTAAAAGAAAACAAGTAACAAAACAAAAGTAATTACATTATGAGGATCAAGCGCTAGACGGTATACATACATAGATATTGGATATACAACTAATAAACAACGCGTAGACGAACGCTACACTCGTACATCCTAACAATATGTGACAACACATAAACTGTACAGTGTATTCATGGGCTCCAATTACGATAACTCCAACCCGGCACAATGTACGCTCATCTCAACCGATATCAGATACAATATTAAACCGAATAACAATGAAATAACTTACCAACTGTCGTATCAACGAAGCAACAATACCGTCTCTTATCTCTGATAACTCTAATCCATCATCGCAGATTTCACGCACTTTTCAACCATGGCAAAGAGTGATAAGGTACACAGTGATGAGGATAAACAGCATAAACATTTTGGGGCACAAGTTTGGGCTTAATGTGAGTGTGAGCGGTGTTCGACGCGCGATCCGAGGGCAGCGGCGCGCGGGCGGCCGGGCCGAATGCGAACACCATACTGAGAGGGATGCTGGCCCGTTGCTATGATACGGCACCCGATTCCACCCCTTAGATCGGCCGCCGCCCTAGAGGAGAATCGCAACCCAGTTTACGTATAGGCGCTACTGTCTGCGTAATAGCTCTTCGGCAATTTCCTGATAAAACGATGGCGATATGCTATTCGTGTGCCACTCATTTCGTTCAGATCGCTCGGTTAGATTGACACGATAATTATTCGTGGCTGTCAAATGAGTCAGGTCCGATTGTAAACGACTTTCAGTATTCATCTATCTTCATAATAAGTGCTGTTTTTAGAACACGAAGGCTCTATTCGCGGTGGCGTAGATTGCTCATCGATTTTATTCATTGCTGAAGTATGGCTCCTTTCATTTCATTTCTGTTTATAATTACTGTGTGAAATAAATTTGCTATTTTTGCGCACCGATGTGTTCTTTTACCTGCGGAGTCACATTAGCGTTTTTAGTTTTTAGGGTAGAGACAAATTACTGCTCTGAAAACTGAAAACACTGTTACAGCTAAACCTAATTTAGTCAGACCATTAGTTTCTTTTTAAAGTGTACCGCCAAAAGTTTATTCTAAACATTTTTACAAGTTTCAGATTAAAAACAACTAGGTAGGTATTTTCTCCGATATTTTTTACATTAATATTGACGATAAATGAAAACTAATAAACTGTAACAGCTTAAACCCATTATTATTGCTGTCTCTAAAAAAACACAGCCACGAACACAATGTTATCTCGCCATCAGCCGGGAGAAAATTAATCAGTCTTGTCGTAGACATTAATTTCCCAGATATTGCTCTCACACCCAGTCACGCACCGTAATGAATTTTGCGTCAAATTATATCATCGGAGAATCGACTGAGGTGGCTGGTAGAAACATAACACAAGAGAATAACATTGCTACTATACTTAACAAACGTCACTGAAACATCTGAAGGGTTTCTGAGTTTATTTTGTCACTTCTTTTCAACATGCCTTTAGGTCGTCCTTGTGGGGCTAGCTTTATTTGGAACATGTAGGCATTTGTGCTCTGAAAAAGGCCTACATACCAGTAAGTAATAGACTTTGAATTTTAGAAAGATTGATAAGTAGACGTATGCTTTAGACGGTTCAGTTCTTTCTGGTGTAAAATAATTCGGTTATTCATTGAGGTCTTGTGATAGGCCCTTTTTTCTTACACTCAGTCACGAAACGTAATGAATTTTGCGTCAAATTATATCATCGGAGAATCGACTGAGGTGGCTGGTAGAAACATAACACTAGAGAATAACATTGCTACTATACTTAACAAACGTCACTGAAACATCTGAAGGGTTTCTGAGTTTATTTTGTCACTTCTTTTCAACATGCCTTTAGGTCGTCCTTGTGGGGCTAGCTTTATTTGGAACGTGTAGGCAAAAGTGGTCTGAAAAAGGCCTACATACTAGTAAGTAATAGACTTTGAGTTTTAGAAAGATTGATAAGTAGACGTATGCTTTAGACGGTTCAGTTCTTTCTGGTGTAAAATAATTCGGTTATTCATTGAGGTCTTGTGATAGGCCCTTTTTTCTTGCACTCAGTCACGAAACGTAATGAATTTCGCGTCAAATTATATCATCGGCGAATCGACGGAGGTGGCTGGTAGAAACATAACACTAGAGAATAACATTGCTACTATACTTAACAGACGTCACTGAAACATCTGATGGGTTTCTGAGTTTATTTTGTCACTTCTTTTCAACATGCCATTAGGTCGTCCTTGTGGGGCTAGCTTTATTTGGAACATGTAGGCATTTGTGCTCTGAAAAAGGCCTACATACCAGTAAGTAATAGACTTTGAATTTTAGAAAGATTGATAAGTAGACGTATGCTTTTAGACGGTCCAGTTTTTTCTGAAGTAAAATAACTCGGTTATTCATTGAGGTCTTGTGATGGGTCCGTAATGTTACCCTTGTACTCAGTCACGCAAATTATTACTATCATCGAAGAATCGACGGAGGTGGCTGGTAGAAACATAACACAAGAGAATAACATTGCTACTATACATAACAGACGTCATTGAAACATCTGATAGGTTTTTGAGTTCTAACTGCTACTTCTTATGAGCATGTGAAATATTGTGGTAGAGCAAGCTATATTTGGAACTTAGAGGGTGCCCTGAAAAGGATCTTAACTAATCAGGACGTCCACTGTTGAACATAGGCCTAATGATTTTTTGACTGGTTGGTAGCAGCCTACATCCCGTGCCATCCAGCTTATGATGTCGTCGATCCGCCTTGTGGGAGGACGTCCCACGCTGCTCTTACCGGTACGTAACCTCCTCTCCAGAACCTTGCTGCCCCCTCGGTCGTCAGTTCTGAGTGCTATGTGCCCTGCCCATTGCCACTTCAGCTTACTAATCTAATCGTAATTTAATTGTTATCGTCGCGTTTTAATAGACATTTTGAATTGTAGAGAGATTTGTAATTAGCCTTGATCGCATCGCCGTTTTTTCTAGTGTAGTTAATTCGGTTATTCATTGGGACCGTGTGATGGGCCCGTAATGTGTGGCAAAATTAGAAAAGACGGATAACGTCGAGCCGCCGGGGTGACGTCCCAATGAGAGTTTGATTGATCACCGCCGTAGCCGCAACCTACGGAACGCCAATGCGTAAGGAAATGAATTTCCAGATGTATGAAGTTGAGTCAGCAAGAGATGGACATCTCATTTAAGTTCTTTAATTGCTAAAGCAGATGTTGTTTTGGCAAACCAAAGGACGAAAATAATTGTAATATTCTGTTTTTTTTATGCAGCACAAAGAAGGTTGAGAGATGCAGTCTAGGATGGTACATAGACCTGGCTTGTAAGTGCCTAGCTATGCAATGGGACATTACTGATTGACACCTTGCTTATTTGGTAACAACAAAGAAAAAAGCAAAATTTTAATATGACAAATGAACTGAGCATTTATCAATACTTACTAAATCACAAGATTTTAAACAAGTTGTGAAACTAACAAAATGTGGGTTTAATTGAGTTTATATATTTTGATCTCGCCAAAAAGGAAATGTGTGGAACTAGTGTAAAAGTTTTTCACTTAGAAAACTACATCTTCAAATAAACATATCACTGCCAATTTGCAAACTTACTTCATTCTGAAGTTTGTTCGCTCCAAACTTTCGCGAAACGTATATGGAACTTCCTTTAGACCCATAGATTGAAATATATCCAATAATGGAATGTAACAGAGTGGATAGTTTGATGAAATGAAAACAGGATTCTGGAAATTTTTGTAGAAGATTGATGAGTGTGGACGAATCTGATCGGTATTTTTGCGATTGTGATACAATATACGAAAACACTCATAGGACGTGAATGGATGTGTTTTCCGCTATCCCGTGAAGTAGTTATGAAATTATAGGTTCGAAAATATTTTATATATCAGTAATGATGTTATCAGTGGTATATTATTAGGGTTCAATATTTACAACAGAAAATAAATACATTAAATAATATTATTAGTAAATAACTAACTAAACCTAAATAGGTCAATCCGTATTTTGAATAATTCTGTTAATTAAGAATTGACAAATAAAGATGACTTTGCACCTAAAATTTTGTCCTTTCTATAATAGAGCCATCACTTTAATTCGTCCTTTTAATATGATTACTCCCACATACCTACTTCTGTGAAGCGCTTTCTAAAGTACCTAACGATTAGCTCAGAAAAGCTTTGTTCTTAATGAACGTAAACTAAGCAGGTAATTACTTTATACGAGAGAAATCTTGGGCGGATTCTCTGGGGTAAAAGAAACGTCACAATATCGAGGTTTGAAGTAATGACAATTCTAACGTAATGGAAAGAAATGTGGAAAATCTAAATTTATAGTTAGGTTAGTCATCAATTTTATTCAAGCATTTCATTTTGTCGTTAAATGATTTATGAGAAATGAAAGTCATTTTCTTCTTTAAGGCTGAGTTGCACCATCTTACTTTAACTTTGACAAACGTCAAAAATCTGTCAAACTCCATACAAAATACGCCGGATCGTTATAGTTTCGGTTAAAGTCAGGTGGTGCAACTCAGCCTTAGATTTTTAGTAATTAGAACTTTCTGAGAAGAAGGATTAATATCTGACTGCGCCAGAAGGAGGGTTATTAGACGAAGGTTTAAGCATGAGTTACGCTACGTATTATAATCATTACTCATCAAGGTGGTGATCGTTTTTATATGTGACTTTGTGATTTCAATATAAAATTACTAGCTTTTGCCCGCGGCTTCACCCGCGTGAAATTAAGTTTGTCACAGATCATCATAAGTTATAGCCTATATGTTAATCTGGGTTATAAACAATAATACTGTAAAGTTTCAACAAAATCCGTTTAGTAGTTTTTGCGTCAAAGAGTAACAAACATCCAGACATCCACACAAACTTTCGCATTTATAATATTATAGTATTATAGTATGATAAAAGAAATGAGCTCATGCAAAAAGACAGTTTGTGAATAATATTAGCTCGTTTGTAAACATGTACCCGTATATTTTAAAGAAAATTACGTGATTTTTCCTCTCAAGTTATCGCACCTCCAAATTAATAACAAAGATATAAGAGTATTTCTCAAAAAAAATGTACGTAACGAAACGGTAGTAACGAAATAGTAAGGCCATAAGGCTTGTTATACATTGGCGAAATATTGTGAATGCTCTTCATTTATTCAATTCGAAATATTTGTAAGTATGCACCCAAATACGGGGTAATATTAAGGGGTTAGAAATAAAATAAGGGAGTAATCATTCATACTATTTTAATAAAATTATTTTTGTTCCATCATGTTTATCCATTTTGAGTCGTTCTCTGTAAGCTTTTTGCCTTTCGGCATTGGNGGATTCTCTGGGGTAAAAGAAACGTCACAATATCGAGGTTTGAAGTAATGACAATTCTAACGTAATGGAAAGAAATGTGGAAAATCTAAATTTATAGTTAGGTTAGTCATCAATTTTATTCAAGCATTTCAT